TACTTACTGCTCTTCCAGAGGACCAGAGTTCGATTCCCAGCACCCACATGGTGGCTAACTCCATGTCTGTAACTCCAGTTCCAGAGGACCCAACACCCTCTCGTGGCGCCCTTGGATACTGACATATGTGTAGGCAAAACCTATATACACATAAAATAGAGTCAAAAGGGGAGGAGCTAAGCAGTGATGTACACTCATCAATCTCCGTTCCCTGATTTCGCATGGTGCAATATGACCAGATGCTTCAAGCTCCTGTGGCCTTGAATTCCCTGCAAAGATGGACTGTATCTTTGATCCTTGAGCCAGAATAAAGTCTTCTGTATTAAGTTGCTTTTGGCAGAGTATTTATTACAAGAACAAGAAAAGAAACCAAACCTCCTGTCTGGCCTAATGAGCAGCCTCCTGGGTCTCAAGGAGAGACCCTATCTGAAAAAACCCAGGGTATCTAGAGAAAGAACCTCCTAGGTAAATCCTCTGTTCTCCAAGTGCGTGTGCCTTGACATGCATGCACATTTGCATAAACGTGAAAAATGCACATGTGAATTCACACACACACACACACACACACACACACACACACACACACACGCGCGCACGCGCGCGCGCAAAAGAAGCTGAAACAAAATACATCAAGGCCTTGCTACCCAGACTGTTGTGAAGTGTGTCTCCTTCTTCCCATCACTCTGCTGTGGTGCACGGAGCTAGGATTAGGCAAGGGCATCACACTGAGCAGAGGCCATCTGGGAGATGTATGCCAGGCACTCTGAGGGCACTATAATGCAGCCATTACGTTGTCACATCCTCTGTGCGTAAGCATCTTCCTGGCCGCTGAGTACAATCTTTGGTCCTTACTACATCCCTATGAGGGAAGGTGCTTTGGTTTGGGTTTTGTGGAGGACTTTATTGTTAATATTTTGAGGCTTTTGTGAGATGGGGCTCATGCATCCTCACAGCCTCCAATTCCTGTATGCACCCAAGGTTGGCTTTGAACTCCTGACCCTCCTGCCTCCATCTCCTGAATTCTGGGGTCACGTGTATCTCCCCAAACACCTAGCTTACTACATTGGATGTTGGCTTAGCAGGGATCAGCGATTTCAAAATATCTTTCACCTTGTATTCAAGGAGTTGCGTTCAAAGCAGGATCACTCACGTAACTAACCACACTGTGAACAGATTCCTGGGCTATGTTAAGTGCTGTGCTAGCCTGGAGGGGAGTGGCCTGGAGTGGGAGTGGCCTGGAGTGGGAGTGGCCTGGAGTGGGAGTGGCCTGGAGGGGGAGGAATTTCCATCTCCTTTCTGTGGAGACAAACTTGGGTTCCCCAATACTTTAGCTAGTGAGTGAGCTGCAAAAGCCAGACTTAGTCTCCAACATCTGCACTCAGAAACTATTCTCTCTAGCCAAGCAGTGGTGACACAGGCCTCTAATCCAAACACTTGGCAGGCAGAGGCAGTTTGAGGTCAGCCTGGTCTACAAAATGAGTTCCAGGACAGCTAGGGATATTACACAGAGAAACCCTGTCTCAAAAACAAAACAAAACAAAACAAAAACAAAATAAAACAAAACCCCCCAAAACTATTCTCTCTTGACTCGGTACCTCTCAGGGCCTCCTCTCCATGCTCCATGCCAGCCTGCTCTGGGAGGATGGATGGAAATGTTATGTTAATGACATGTGTCATATCTCTGACTTACCGTGAGACTGCCGAGCTGAGCCAGAGGCCAGCCGATGGGCAAGGACATGAGTGATGGAGAACAGAGAGTGAGTGATGAAGTTGCCCCTTGCCAGGAGATGAGGATGAAAA